GGGGGGGGGGGGGGGGGGTAAAAGTTTTTCGCGCAAAATTGAGGGGCTGGTTGTTTTGTGCAGTAGCGCTAGCTTAATTTTCATTTCGTCACTTTCTAGTATCTGCGGCGCATTTTTTTTGTTTTTTTAAGACTTCCTTCAGAATATGTATTAGACCAGAGTGATATGGGGGACACAATAAACAATATAGTATTTTATAATTTTTATTATGATGCAGAAACATATTCGAGAACTGAAATTTGGTCTGAGTCGGGGAGGGGTGGTAGAAGTTTCTCTCTCTGCATATCTGCGTCAAGTTTTTGGGAAAGTTAAGATATTGACCGTAACCTTAATGGGCTTAGAAGAGTGGATCCTTTTGTTAGGTTTAAGAGGCAGTCCTCCACAAGCTCCATTAAATCCCTGGAGTGATACAGAGTACAGTACCATGCTCCCGCCACAACCGGCTTTTCCTGCAAGTCGATGTGAGCTTCTGTAGACCACATAGGGAGCCATTGTGGCTATTCGACGACGAGATTGCTCGAGGAAAAATAGCTCTGTGGATGTGGGGGGCAACCGTAGGCCTTGCCTTGTCCTAAAATTTGTACCGCAATAAGTGAAATCTATAGTGGTGTGGCGGAGCTAAGCAAACTTTGCCAGACTGCGGATCGAGTCCTGTTGGTGCTAGCTAGCTAGCTAGGTATGTCTCAGCCACCGGGCGTTTCAATTTGTAGGCAATCTAAGGGCCTCCTTGCTCCACTACACAACACTTCTCCCCCCCCCCCCCAAAAAAAAAACACCTGCATAGGCCCAACTAGAAGCGGTGACATGAGCATTCTCCACTACTTGGTGCACCTGCTGGAAACCGGTGCAGCATCCCTTTATCAAGATAAGAGTTAATTATACAGGGCAAGACATTATTGATTACCCTCTATACAATACAAGGGGATTAACTCTCTGCCCAATCACGAAGCGGGCCACCACCGACTTACCGAAACTACCAACTGATGCCTGATTCAGTAGCAACACGCCTCTGCACGCCGGTGTTATTGAACCATGCGACCTGTCCAACAAATCTATCCTCCTTTGGGGAACGGCAACGGTAGACAAACCGCTCTATACTCCCTTCAAGCATAGTCTCCATCTTCCAAAATCTGTTATGCCCTTTCTCTGCAGTCGGCTCGCTGAATTTGACGGAGTAAATTCTGTCTACTAATCAGAAGATTTTTCTGTTTGTCGACCCTCTGCNCTTTCTCTGCAGTCGGCTCGCTGAATTTGACGGAGTAAATTCTGTCTACTAATCAGAAGATTTTTCTGTTTGTCGACCCTCTGCCGAGCAACTACTTGTGATGATACATATGAAGGCTTGGAAGAAAACATTGTGACAGCCACATCACTCTATGAATCCGCATACATTGCGAGTGATCAAACATTGGGAATGTATTGGGACCAGAGTGGATCCAGATTCATTGAGAATGCAGTGTGTATAGCAGATTCAGATTCATTGAAAATGGTTCGTAGTGGAGCAAGGCCCAACTGTTGGGACGAGGTGGCGGAGGCTGTAACTGGGTATTGTGTTGAGATGAGAGGCTTGGATTGGGAAAAACGGATGCCTACCGTCTTCCCCCGAACATAACGCACCCTAAAAGTGAATGTATACAAGCTATATTTCCGGCCAGATACAGCCAAAATAAGGGTGCGTTGTGTTCGGGGGAAGACGGTAGTCTCTATAGACAGAGGTTAAGTGCACCGTGGTGGACAATGGACCTCACTCAACTGCACAACACTCCGAATGCATTTGGATGTGGCAATGGCCCCAGTACGTTCAAAGTGGTCGATCAGTCGAAAATTCTCAAATGTACGTGGTCAACCAGATGTCTAGATACACGATGAACATTGATTGACTAGTGGAGTGAGGCCTAATTACTATTGTCCAAGTAGTTGAGGCTTTAGGTACCTGTGTCGCATGCCAAGATGAACAGGAAGGGAGGTGTTGTTGCACAGGTGCACAGCATGATAGGGGGGGGCACTTTTTCTGTGAGCATCTACTGAAAGGGACCAATTTGAAGACCTGACTCTTCAGTCTTACCCTGAATTTGACTGAAAGGGACCAATTTGAAGAGTAGATCCTTTTGTCTTCCCCCAAGTAGAGCGTACGGTCATATCGCTGTATTCAGACAGAAAGTTGCCCCCAATACAGGTGTAATGATCATATGTTCTATCCCGGGAAAAGACGTTAGGTTCTCCTGGGCTAAATAAATGTGCCCCAAGTGGGGTGGGTGGGTGGTGGGAGGTTGTTTGTAGGAAGGCGAAAGTGTGTTTGGGAGGGGGGCGGGGGCCGGAAGAGAGGGGGGGGGGGTTGGACACGAGCGGGGGAGAGAATCAGGAAGCTGAAGAGGTGGTCGGGAGGGTGTAAGAGGGTGTCCAATGCCAGGAGAAAGAATAACATAACGGGGCGTACTGACCAGCGGGGTGTACTAGTAGCACACGCTCAGTCAAGGGTCTTGCTCCGATGCACAACATTTTTTAAATGTTTTTGGAAAAAAACACTGTCCTGATACGTTCAAAACGTTTGATTAGTCCGGATGCATCTGGTCTAGTGCAGTCTAGAATGTTGAGCAGCGGGGCTGATCATGTGTAGATAAGTTTGAAGCCGAAGTTGGGTGCTTTGCGATACATCCTCTTGCCTTGGGTTCAGGTCCTTGGTTGGGTCTTTCATTGGCTTAATGGCCTTGGGTTTGGGTCCTGGTGTGAAATTGCAGGGGTTCATACTATTTTTTTCTTTCTCCCTCTTCTGTTGGGGGGGGGGGAGGAGGGAGCGGTGGGCAGATACTGCTCATGGCTCCTCGTCATCCCAGATTCGTGTTGTATATTATAAGGGAAGTCTCACACTGGGACTTTCCTGAATGTAAGGAACTGCAAATACGTCCAAATTGATTTCGAAGTTGAAAACGGTAGGTTTGAAAAGGCCTGTTGTGACGCGAGCAGCCTACCGTCTTCCCCCGAATACAATGTACTACGGTCATTATAGCTGTATTTGGGGCATCTTTCAGTCTAAATACGGCTATAATGACCGTACGCTGTTGTATTCAGGGAAAGAGAAGGTAGCTTGGTTGATTTGCCATGCTAGTGGCATTCAGGCAGGTCTTGGGTTCGAGCCCCCACCGACCGACCGCCTGGGGCATGCTTGGTGCCAACCAGCTGTGATAGTAGGCTTGCTTCCCCTGGTCAGTATTATTTGGGTCTTTAGTCAACACGTGTGTGAGTGGGTGGCGTGTAGTGTGTGGGAGAGTGTTGGCCTTATACACTGCTGTTACTCGACGTGAGTGATCTGAGGATCCTACACAGACATGTGTTGGTTTCCTGCAGATTATCCATTGTACAATGTATATTGAAATCCATTCAATAAATAGGTGAGGACTTTCCCGCATATATTGAAGTAATAAGGTAAGAAAAATGTGGCAGAGCGACTCGCAGAATGCTCGGTCTGGTATGAGTGAGTGTGTAGTTTGTAGTGTGTGGGAGGGGGTTGGCTCTAGACGCTGTTGTTACTCGACGTGGGTGAGGGAAGAAGAAAAAGGAGGCACGGCAACTGGCAGAATGCTCGGTCTGTGTGTCAGCCCGGTCCCCACCAACGGCCGCGACTGGCAGAATGCTGAGTCTTTGTGTCAGTACATCCCCCATCAGCGGCCACGTTACTCCCTGGCCACCATAATTAGGGCAGGGGGCAACATGCACCCCCTTCATTGTGAGAGGTGGCTATGTTTGCAGGAGTCCCCTGTATGCTTGAAGGTGTAGTTTGAGAGTGGAGTGTCAATGCGGATGAATTTGGGCGCTCGAGTAGTGGACCGTTCATTCACGCGCGTCTCGGCTCGCATGCGGCCGCTGCTTTCGGAAGTACTGGTGGTTCAAAAAGAAAGGGGGGGGGAGTCCTGCTCTGAGTGTATGCCTTGTATTTGGGGGTGATTGTTTGGGCTACTTGAGGTTAAAGCACCTGGGGAGCGCAGCCTTTCAAACACCGCCTGCCGGTTAACAGAGAAGTGCGAAAAGGTTTGAAGTGGCCATAGCGGAAACGCTGGCGATAGCAGGCAAATTGCATCCTGCAAGGATCTGGAATCTGGATACATTGTTGGTGCCACAAAAAAATCAGCACTGGGAAAAAGAGGCTTGGAAGTTGGAACCACTGGTGGTCAAACTTTTCCCATGCAGAGAGAGCCCTTCTCTTCTTACAATGATTGAAATCGAAGTAATGAAGGCGACATTCCAGAAGCCCATAATAGGAGTATACCTTGAGGATAACCCTCTTTCCTCTTTACCTTTTTCATCTCAGTTATTTCCTTGACCAGCCTGCTGAAGCCCGATCACCCTGGAAATGGTCAGCGGAATCATCGGAGAATATATCCATTATAACTGCCAGTACTTGGCCCAGTTATCGGCCATGGAAAAACATAGAGTAGAACCGTTTTTCGTCGGATGAATTCGGGCGCTCCTGTAGTGACGCGTACACTTCCTAAAATCGTGGCTTTTAACGGGCACAACTTCAGGAAGTGTTGGTGGTTTAAAGCACCAGGACACTAAACTTATGTACGGGGCAGCATGCTTTTCGACTCGACAGCCTCCATGTTAATGTGAGGTTCCAGGGCTCAGCGTGCCCCAAAGTGGCCACCCTTGAAAATGCAGCCAGGCCACCCTAA